GTCTAGATTAAATTTTTTTCGACGATTGAGCTATTCATCCCATCACATCTTCTCAATACAGTATAAAACTAATTCTATTTATTTATAAGAAGCTATGTCTCAGTTTACAATTTCTGAACATTATGGGAATGTTAGTATTGGCATGTTAGTCATGGCAACCCGTCAAAATAAAAGTTTGGTTTAACTTGAAGAAATTGTGACAGAAATATAGGCCTATTACTGTTGTGCAGTAGAATGTACATATTTACTACTACTACTACTTATAAAATTATTAAAACTTTAAAATACATTTTAAAATAATTTTAATACATTTTTTAAAGAATAATCACACAATATTTATTCCATGTTTTCATTTTAATAGTAAACCCCCTTTGTTATTCCCAAAAAAGAAAGAGTTTATCTTTCAAATTATTAAAAGTTAAATTAAATTAATGTTTTATGGCTTCATTTGATAACCAGACAAATTAAAATACACAACACAGAATTTCTGGGGAGAAGAAATCGTCATCCGGCTATTGTAAAAATAAATTTAAACAGAATTTGGTAACAATAACACAGAACGTGAAAAAAAAAAAAAACTTTCTTAGGGTCCTAAAAATTTCACAATGTATGTTAAATTGCATGTTTGCAATTGCAGTGTCATGATTTTAATTAATTATGTATGCTTTCTGACTAATACAATTTAATTTAACCATTAAAAAGGATTCCATAAATATTTAAATGAAAAAAACAAAAACAGAATCCAGATGACTAACAACTATCGGTTCCCAGAATGTTCGTTTTTGGTTATAAAAACTAAAAATAACTTTAGAGAACGTTCTGTTAAAGTTCTTAGTTTTGTCACACAAAAACCTCTTACACAGTTTCTTACACAAAATATTATCTAAAAACACGAGACGCGGCGCTCAGGATTGTTTTGTTTTTTTTAAATCGCAGCACAGAACGTCTCTGCCATATTGTCATGAAATAAAACAGTTGCCATGCCAACTTACTACTCTAAACAAAAGCTTGCAATGCTTGCTCCGCCTCCGCGGCCTTCTGATTGGTCCACTGTTTTGGAACTGACACTGATGAGCGGAAAATGTGGCACTCATGTGTGAGATACTGCAAAAGATGGAACAGTGGAAACCGTGGAAACAATGGAAAAGTAGCACATTGGAATGGAAAAATACATTCCGTTTCAGTTCATGTTTTCTTAATGTTACTCTGAACGTTCAAAAGTAACTTACACATAATGTTTAAAAATGATGAAATGTTCCCTTAACATTCATACAACCAAGAAGAAACATTTTTTAAAACATTTTAAAACTGAACGTTTTGAACATTCAGAAATAATGTTTTCATAACTTAACGGGAACGTTAGCAAAACGTTCTAAGAACATGTTTTTGTTAACTGGGAAATAGCCAATAGCGAACCTTATTTTTGTCATAGAAAAACCAGCTAAATCTCACGGCCAATTCTTACGACCTCACTCGTATCGTTTTGTACGATTTCTGTGACGGTTAAGTTTAGGGGCGAAGTTTGGTGTGGTCCTTCGTACAAATTCCTACGAATTTGCCACCTCATAAAATACGTGTGATTTTTCACAAGGCAAATTAGCAGAAAACAAAATGATGCCAACAAAGAAATTAATTATGATCAGTGCAAGCTTACAAAATCATTTCTTTAAACCCGGAAAGTCAGAGTGTGAAAAAATCATTAACCTCTTGACAATTATTATTACAACATTACTTTTGACTTGAAGGCAGCAATATCTCTGCAAGAAAATGTTTTCTTACTTATTTATTCTTGTCTTGTTTTCTAGTATATATACACAGTGGGGCAAAAAAGTATTTAGTCAGCCACCAATTGTGCAAGTTCTCCCACTTAAAAAGATGAGAGAGGCCTGTAATTTTCATCATAGGTATACCTCAACTATGAGAGACAAAATGAGAGAAAAAA